TATACTAGCCCCAATTGCTTAGAGTTTTACTCCGCTTCTTACACCCGACAGTGTAGGGCATATTTGAGTCAGAATTTTTAACACTGCAAACAATATGGTTCAACTAGCTTTTAAAAAAGACGTGGTTCTTAAAAGTAATCTAAAGCCTATATTTTGTGAGAACTTTGAGAGTTCCACGAAGAAAATAATCTTCGAGTCTTGACCGACACCTCTTTGGTCGAGAATCTACTATTCTGCAATCCATCTGGACGATAGATGCACTTTGTGCATGTCTAATACGGTGTGAGGCGTCGTGATACGGAGCTGACGATGCCTTCCAGGTCATCACTTATGAGTGAATCCTGGCTCGAAGAGCTCAACATGCCCGTGTGCAAGATCAAGAGTCGCAACGACCCATATTAATTTCATCACGCAGCGGCTACGGTTTCAAACACTCCAAACTTGCTCGCCGCGTTGGCATGAAGCCCTAATATGTTTATGCGTGCCGCCCATCTGTTTGCATCAGGAGCAAATGGCGCAACGTGAGCTTTGATAGTCCACAAGTCACAACGTCTTGGGAGTACCACCTGCACTTAGAGCAACAGCGGTAAGAAAAACCCATTTTTCTATCAGAACCTAGCCTCGAGTAATTAAAAGTGACGAGTGTGCAGAGATTTATACGGAAACTGGGTAAGGAAAAGGGTTAACTTACTCATCCCTTTGCTCTGCAATCCAAATTCAGCAAAGCAAATATTTGTCCAGAGTGTTGTTTGATAATAGACGTAGCAAAGCTGAAAGCACGACACGAATGTCAAGATGTAGCGACATGAGTTTAGCGTCTTGATGCTTACAGTCTGCTCGCACTCACGAGCCAGCTGTACAACTGCTGATCAAGTTTTGAACATGAATCAAAGTCGACCTATTGCTAGCAAGAATACGGTATGCTAGGCGACCCTGCCTCTTCTCCAGGAAGATTATGGTGGAAGGTGTGCTTGATTATATGCGGCAAGGTAGTCAGGGCATCACTGCCAAAGTAAAATTCCAAACTTCCATACGGTTTTGAGGTGAGATGTTCTCTTTTACTCCACTTGCTACTGGTAGTACTCTTGATTCCACCTCGTGCTCTAAAGGGTAGACAAATTATCTTCATTACTGAAAGTGTAGCTTGAGAGATTGTAAGAACAATAGCATGAAAGTTTAACTGTTAGACTTTACATGAGTAAATTATGTTAATTTAGATTTGCTAATTTCAAATGTCTTACTGCACAGGTCACTAACCATGTTTGTTAGCATATTTATTTTTGATACTAAAACCAGTCAAAAGAAAAGCATCAAGTTTTTCTGGAAAGGGATTGTAACTCTAACTAGTTATGTGATAAAAGACGTTCGTGTATATTCATCATGCTCTATCATTCCACTAGTCCATAGCACAACGTGTATCACTCTGCACAAAATACAACGTTGATACTGTACTTCTCGTGCAAAAAAGGATTAAGGTCGCGCCCAGGGCGAAGAGACCCTCACCGGTTTTAGCTCCATTACTACGACGTTGCCGCGCACTTTGCACAAACGATATTATTCGTACTGTGACGATTTACACGTACCCTGGTAACAGGTGTGTGTGTGTCACACGAGATGGGCATAGTGTGACTGCACCCAAATAAGAATATGTGGCTGGGTAGCCAGTAGCTATGCATGTATTTAGATTTTGCTATATATATTTAGGAAAATCTATACACTTAGAATTAGGCGGCTTTGCCGCAGATAAAAATAAAAAAGTTAATTTTGGATTAAAACGGAAGAATTTTAAGCCTTGGTTTAAGGCAATAATTACTCTTGGTGTAAGCGGATAGCGATCCGCTAAGCTCGTACTTGTTCTGAGTATATAACGAAAGGTCGGTGACCTAACTTACACTTCCTCAAAGCGCAAAGCTACGGCAGCCCCGCTGCAGCACGCGTGCAACCCTAATTTGAGGACCTCTAGAGCAGCACAGGTGCTCCATCGAAAAAGTATTCATAGCTATCTCAACTTCTCTCGCCCAAAAAAAGATTATGTTTACCTCACTCTCTAATGCTCAACGTTTTGGATGCTGGTTGTGAGCCCATCGGCATCCAGACGAAGAGTCCCCAAAGGTGCTTCACTAGAGCATTCTCACAGCTGTTGATACCTCCAAAAGGACTATCGCCGCTTCCGGCCCTTATGTTGCAAAGCGTGAATTGTTTTGTGACCAAGACAAGTCATGATAATCAAGTGTGTCGAGCTCGAGGCCAGATATTTAAAATATCGTGTTTGACGCGTACAGATGGTGTTTTTTATTAAAATACCCGTTAGTTTGACAACAGATGATTAATAATATATGCTTATCTCTTGGAACTGCATTGGGAAATTACAATCCTTGTGCAAGGATGAGTGCGACTGCGTACACTGGGAGTTGTTGTACAGCTTACCCAAAAAATAAGAGAACAAGCAGAACAGAGAATCTATGTAGTAATGGTCATCTTTGTCAATTTAATATTACCTGAATCGGTTATGTTTCTTCAATAGAGGTTAAAACTTCTTCAACTTACAAGACAGTAGACTTTACGTAGGCATCAAAGATGCTAAATACGGATACGATATGTTTGCGTTTTGCGACGAGTGTTTTGTTGAAACATCCGATCCAAATGAAAGACTTTGACAGCTTAAAACGTTGTTTCGCCCTGAACATTAATTCGATACGTACATTTGTCTTCTACATATGGCGTTGATTGAACGCCGATGGCCTTAAATTGACTAGTTTTTGTAGATGCTATGCGCCCCTCACTTCTCTCCCGGTAAATAGTTGAGGTATCATTAAAATGATTTCTTCCAGAAAGTAGAATCGCTTTCGGCGCATGCACTTATCAACGATTGCCCTTATCTTGTGTGTTTGTGTAATTGGATTGCAATTGTATTGCCGAGGGTTTGGGGCAGAGCTAGCAATACTTAATTGGCAGTGAATCTGATGTCAGAATGAGCCAGAAAGAAGTGATCTTGTATAGCAGTTTCTTCATTGTATCTCTGCTAAGACGGAAGCTTGAGATTTTAGTTCGTTGTTCCTGTTATGTATATTCGGTGGCACGGCAAGTTATAGCTGTTTATTAAGATTCATACATATGAAGTCAAATTTAACTACAACATTATTTATTTATGATATACATAAAATTATTTGTACGACAAGACACCATGCTGACAGCAGGCGTACGCTACGCACCTCTCCTTTGCAGAGGTGTTTTCGGTCTCATTATAACCAATATCGTGGTGCTTTTAACTTAGCAGAATAATTTGGTGTGTACTTACGTATAAAATAGTACGCATTTCAAAGACTTTCCATGAAGATGTAACTATTACCGCCTCAGGTAGAGAATTGTCGAGGGATCCTGACCTTGATAAATAATCACGCGGTCTTTCCGCTGACTCTCCCCAGTTGGGAATCCTGCTTGCGGGCTTTTATGAAATAGACTTGAGAGCACCCCCTCCTTCGTTACTGAACTACGTTTTTATTCCAGGATATCCTAATTTCCTACTTACTACATTGATAGGTACAGTCCCATCTGGGCCGGAATTTGATTTTGATGCATGTAGCTCTACAAGGGCTGCTATCGAGGAGAATGGGAAGAGAAATACAACTTCTAGAACCACCTTGGTCACTGCAATCACAAATAAATAATCTTTCTTACTCCCATCTTCAAAAAGCCGCCTGTAAACCAATATTTCTAGAAATAGCTTGACAAAAAACTGGTGATGGATATTTTATGCCAATGGTTCAGAGAAGACAACCCATAAAGGACCAGGTTTATTTCTTGTGTATAAGATTTACTGTTGGATTCCTAGCAAGAAAAGAACTACCACGTGTCCTTTTATGGTTTACCGACCAGATCGTACATTATTCATGGCAAAATTTTATGGTATAGATATGGCATTGTATGGACGAAGACATAGCAACATATTCAGCTTATTTTTACTTCGAGGTCACTTCCACTATTCTTCGATTTGGAAATAAAATCGGATTTTACTTGATTTTCGACATATATAGTACGGATCTTAACACTACTGTATACGTCACTTGTGACAGACCAACATCTGATCTTTTCCGATCATTGAGATCTTATAAAATTTTTGATCAAGATTCAATTTGCGGCTGATTTAAGTGGTAAGACCAGCCAGCGTTACGACTGCCTTTTCTGAAGTTGCATTACTGGCATATCTACAATAACATGCAGCTAACCTCGAGCACAATTTTACACCAAATCACACAGGCATCTTATCAACTCACTTTCACAAAATCATAATACTACAGTCATGCATTTCCGCTACTTACGCCCTGTTCTGCTGGCCAGCTTCTCGTTGCCGGTGCTTCGGCAAGAACAAGTTTCAATCCAGCCACGTCGCATACAGAGCATTCAACTGGATCTCAGAGCACTGACGACGAATTTAGGACAATACAAGTCTTTGAATTCTGCAACAGAGTTTTGAAAACCGAAAAAAGCGTGAAAGAACTTGACTTGAACGGCGTCGTCACCTCTATAAAACCTCACATCAAGAGCGAAACGACACCAAAAGAATATGCTGAGTTATGCGGAATGAAATTAGAGTCGCAAAACCTCCTGGCAGACAAATTGTGGGTAAAATGGGCTTTCTTTGTTTGTTCTCGAAATGTGGATTCAATGAGACCACACCAGAGAATATTTCTTGCTATGAAAGAAATATTTCTCCCCGAGGAACTGGATACTATATCTGAGAGAGCGCTTCTGGATCCTCAGACATCCCAGCTCGCCGCAGCACTGCTCCAATATGAACCGCACATTTTATTCAACATAACGAAGAAGATGCTTGCCGAAATCGATCGTCTCAAATTCTTCGGTGATCATTACAACAAGTGGGTCAGGTGTATACGCATTCAGAGTGGACATCAAGATGAAGAGACATATATACATACAGAACTGGAATATTTCACCAAGTTCTATGGAGAGACCGATCTAGTTAGAATTTTGACCATCCCAGAAAATCAAAATGACAAAGGGCGAGAGTACTTAAAAGCTCTATCTGGGATTTGGCTGAGCCAGAAAAAGAGCCCGGACGATGTCATGAAAATGGTGATTCGCACAGACGACGATGTCTACAACTTTCTCTATCATGATTTCACAACATTTTCTCCTCGAGTATGGGTGTCCTACCACTCTCAATTTTATAGAATATATCGCAATGAAGCAAATAGGCTGACGCTGCTTGATACGCTCACCAGTGCTGTTGGTTCCGCAAGAGTGACGATCATGGTACAAAAAGCGCAAGAGTCTCCAGATTCGTTAGCCAGAGAGTGGGGGCGTTATCTTCAAAAGGCACAATATCGAGAATGGTTCGACAAAAAGATACCAGCTGTTGATGTTTATGAAGAAATAGTCAATTGCGCGATGACTCAATCATGGGGACCGGAAATTAGAGCTAGTTTTGCCGAAAGAGTCGGCGCTGAATACGTCAGTGCTATTTTGAGCACCGATTTTAATAATCTGCCACATGTCCCTGATCCCCATATTGGAGTATAAGGTACATCAAGCTGCGCTACCCAACACGTTCGTGATAAAATTTACTTTGTATTACACTGTTAAAGCTTGTGTCATTTGTAGATTCGAATAAGCGCGCACTGCTTACTAGTCAAATGATCTTTCTTCAGTATGCAAGCATGCACGATCGAATGATGTAGCTTAAAGATCTTGGCATTTACATATTCTGTTTTTATAAGTCAATCCAGAGTGCACTTTCACGGATCCGTTTGTTTCTTATACTGTGGTCTTGGCTCGAGAGTAATAAGGCCTTTCAATTTTCGAGATGGTGAAACTTTCGAAAAGGGTCGAAATAAATACTAGGGGAACTTTGCACTGAATAGAAAGCTGTCGGAACAGAATTTCTTATCGTGTATAGACTAAAGTGAAGTTATCCTTATTAGCTCGTTTCGATCTAGATCTCAAAATGATGCAAATTTAACAAAATCACGAAGTTTGGAATAACACTCTAGTGTGATAGTAAATATTCAGAGATGATGCTGATGAAGATGATAGGACCGTGGAAAGTAAAGAGTTGTGGAATATTGGCTAGTTAATCTCATATCAAGCGATTACGGTTGGAGATCGAAATTAATGCGTCTTGTTACCATCTTAAATAGTCAAAATTATTGGATGACGCCATCCTCTGAGCATCGTAAGCGGAGTGTATGATTTGAAACTTCATTGTGTAAGGTTCACAGTAACCACATTGCACTTGAAGCATAGTTGGTCAATTCGTCGACCTAGTCGTGAAATGTTTTTATATTCTGTAAGAGTAGGTCAGGAGGCGTTTTCCCGTTACAACTCGAAATTCTTAGTAAGTTTATGCCTATCGTCGATTGTTAAGGGGTCAGTAAAACAACGTTTCACAGGCCAGATGTGGTATTTGTTCACCTGAAGGCTATTGCTAGCTATGGGAATGAGCTGGTAAGACACTTTTAGGAACGTTCCAATGAGACATTATGAAGAGCAGCTCATGATGGCCGTTTAAAAATGAGACGAGAAAAATTTCTCCTTCTGGATGGGGCAAGTTGATATGTTTTTGAATTCCGTTATGATTCAGACATAGCAACAGCTTGTCACGCATACGGATCTACAAGTAAAGAAGCCGTGCGATGAACCTCAATCCTGCTTAGAAGCAAATAATCGAATTTTGACCGCAAAGTAGCGCTGCGGCTCTCTCTTATGTTTATCTGGGCAATACAGAAAAGTCTCGCCCGGCTATCTCCTTCTCTCTTGGCTGAACGGCAAGAAGGGTCAAGCCTTCACACAGGGTCGTCTAACGAATCCTCTCGCGAGGAGGCGTTGGGAGTTAGTAGTAATCTGTGCGTCTACGAAAGAAATGTGTTTGATTGTACCTCGTGAACGGTTGTTGTGAGTGAAACAAACCTGCCCCAAATCAAGTGACACACTCGAAGAATGGTTAAGTACACGTTCCAAAAGCTCATTAGCTAACATCAACTTTGCGGGGGATTATGACTGTGCGAAAAGGCCTGATTGATTCATGTGCGTCGCGTCATTACGCTCGATGCGCGACTGTCAAAAGAGCGCGGGAGGCATCAACGATAGGAAAATGCTTTCCGGATGTCTAGCGATGAGACACTAGTACAACTATCAAAGTAAATACCAAACCTTTGAACGAAGCTTGAAGACTTTGACAGCGTGAAATTCTGTTTTGCCTGGATTTATTTTGAGATACATCATCAGGCTATAGGTATGGTTTGACTGGAACGCCAACAGAGATGAATTGATTGGAAGACAAAGAAGTTAGGTGGCACACATTTTTGTTGGGTTGTGGTAGTCTCACCTCTGTCAAAGGCCAAAAGCGTTTCTAAAGCGGGAACCAAGACAAGATAGCTTCGGTAAATGACATGACGTTGTCTGTATTGTCTATCGCGATTTTACTTTGCCGTATACATTGAAATGAATCAGGGTATGCCACGGTTCGCAGTATAGATTTATGGTGAGACAGCCAGTCGTCGCTGAGATTGGTGTCCTTTGTAAACGAGCCGATACAGAGTCAGATTATCCTGTGCTTGATCCGGTAAAGATAGGTGACTGTAATTTGCAAGGAGATATAGTGGGCCCTATATTTTGAAGAATGGTCCATGTTTGTCGCAAAATGATGGCTCTGCTGATAAGCACTACTGAATAACTCGTACACAGTCCAAAAATGTGAACGTGCATGTTTGTTGCGAGAAAAGCTCATGTAGTTCACCTAAGGATAGTAGATTGCCCCCGGTAAATCTCTCATGTAGCAAGAGAGTTTTCCTGAAGGGATATTTGCACATTCTTGCAAGACAGTCAAACTGAGTTCGAGCGGGGCTTCGCTGAGATCATCATCCGTCACAAACGAATCCGCCATTGATGACACTCGCAGAGGACTAAGTCTGAAAAATGAATAGGCTATCTTCAAGGATACTACAATTTTTATTCTTTGTTCAAGGTTCATCATCACGTGGCCACAAGACCACCACCATACATGTTGTCCCCGGATCGGGAATGCGCCGTGAGATTGACTTGGTTCTTACTGATAAGGAAGACATCCTATTAGCGAGAGACATTGTGACTTCATAGATAATTAAAACCACATAAGGCAAGACGCGGGTCGGGTGAGAGAAAGTAAATATCATCAGTGGGTACCGATTTTATGTTTCAGATAGATTCACGGCAAGTGTCCAAGCGTGCATGCTTATATTTAGGTAATTAAAGCCTTCATTTCGATGCAATCTCGCTTTCTAAGAGATTAAATTGCAGTTAGCATATGAGAGACGGTAATATCCCTATCTCTTTGGTGTGTACACAGAGTGGGATAATTCGATCGTAGATTTTTATGTCACAAGAAATGTGTATCGTACCAGTGACGTTTCTTTGTATGATAACGCCGGTGATTATACCAAATTATGCATAGGCACATACAAATCTGGACAAAATTTTCTTGCATCTTGATGATACGCTGAGTCGGATGTGGACATCCACATAAAATTTTAGCCGGATGGATGAACTTCAGAAGAGTATTCACCAATACAGATAGGTGTGTCTTTGACACCAGCAAAAAAATTTTTGGGGTGATTTATTGAAAATTTGGCGGACGGAAAATTTTCGCTAGACTTATTGCATCGAAAATTGGCCAGTACCTTTGTCCCGATAACTCTTCCGGTATCGGCTTGACGTACCAATCTTCCTAAATTGGATGCCTCGTGGTGGTGGGGGTTGATAGAAGAGCGCGAGTAAACATTTTTAGGTGGCACGGGCAAGAGCTGTGCCTAGTGTTGCGTCGTAACTTTGAAATTTCGTAAGATACGGTATACAAGGCTGTACTAAAATTCTCTTGCAAGCGCCGGTTGTTATCCTTACTTACCCGTTTCGACCAATCCACGTACTTCGGACTTTGTCATAGGCGGTGCTTAACCCAAGCAGATGTCATTGGGCATGATCGCATCATTGTGTGTGAGTCGTGTCAGCTTAATGTGGTAGAGAAAACTACCATTGATACGAGCAACATCCTATGATTGATTTTTGCCAAGTTCGGGTTGCCTTCTTGGTCTACACCTTTGTGATTTGTACAGATCGTGCGCTGCTCAGATAATGTTCTCCCAAATGCACTGATCCTCCCCGCAGCCCTTGAGGCCAATTTCACACAGACACGATGTATCGCCTTCTTTCATACATTTGTTGTCTGTTCCAACGCGTAGACAGTCTATTTAGCTTGACACGTATATACCTGCGCATTCTCCACATCGAACAGAACTGCCATACAATTGTTGTCTGTCAGCACACACCTAAAAAAGTAGTAGTGATATTTACCTGTCTCATTTGATGGTCGCATTCGGCAAACACCGCAAGCGTCAAAATTGAATTTATATTGGTAAATGGATAAAAGTCTTGAAAAAATCAATTTCATACTTTTGCTTTGAATCCTTGGCGAAATCTCGTGCCTTGTACCACACGACAGTGCCATATTGATCATGCTGCTTGGCAAAGACCCACTGCACTACAAATGAGCATCCCTCTTGGCTGTATTATTCGTGTTTGGTTCTGATCATGGGAGCGAAGCTCAGCTTCAATAGCCTTACGCCACCTCGCTGCAATACCGCTTTGCCATTGCTTGAGCATGTGTAGTCGGCAAGTCCTTATCATCCTCACTTCTCACCTTTTCGCGATCGGCAAAGATTCCGATTTCGTCAATCCTAGCACATTCTGGTGTCGGTGGGCCACTTCTTCCTTTTATCACCGCTTCGTCGTTTGAGCCGTCCTTTAGCACCAGCGTCGGCTCTTGTCTTTGTCTTGTTCTCTCATCTCCAGACCTAAACACCAGACGATATTCTTAATGCGTATAACAAGATGGATAATACTCTGCTGGGTCCAATCTGTTTCCAACAGAGCGTTCGAGATGCATAAGCTGCTGCCAGCCGACCCTTTAGGTACGGTCGACATCGTCTATTCCGATGTCTGCTACCGGCTTTCTGACAGTTTTCATACGTTCACCCAAAACTGACAATCGATCTACTTGGTTCTGAAGATTGCGGCACCAGTGTGTTCTATAACCTATGTGGTCGCTTTTGACTGTTGTGCTTGCGTGTCTTAGCTGCCGCCTTCGTCACGCTCATTCAAGCGTGAAAAAAGAATTGGTTTGACACCGATATTTTTCTATTTAAAGATGTGATAAACATCGATATATTTCGTAAAGCGGATAATTATAGGCTCGAAGCGTTAAGTGTGGCTTTTGTTCTATTTGCATCGTCAACATGTGCGTTTGTTGTGACCCGAAGTTACGTAAGTGACCCAAATGAGGCTTCATCGTGACAGCGGAATCATACGGCGTGATATCGGATGTGGAGTGATTAACTGCTGTGTTTACCGCTTTCACCCACCATTCAGTGGAAACGTTCTTGTAGTAGAGCATACTGCGGTACCCTATGATAGTTCTGTTCATGCGCTCCACCACCCCATTTTGCAGAGGACTGTATAGAACGGAGTGTAAGCTGGCGGACGAAACCGCTCCGACAACATATGTTTTTATTGATTTGCTCACGAATTCTGTTTCGCTGGTGGATCACAACCATTTGAGACGAAAACCGATTGATTTGTGCTGAAATCACTGAACTAGCCAGCTACACGACTCATGCTTTTGACCAGAGAACTGCAACATATCGTGAAATATGGAAAGTAGGGAAATTGCAACATATCTTGAAAAATTCACAAAATGGAGAATGCATTTTACACCTCTATTCAAAAGAATATATTTTTACTGTCTGACTGCGTGCGGTCCAGTACACGTGTCGTCTTTTTCATCACTGTCTGTTTCCCCTTCGAGCACCAGGCACATTACGCAATTGTATCTTGCTTGATCATCGGAATGGCGTTAATTGATCGCTGTGACTTGAGTACAGCGTCTTTATTTGGGTGTCCCATGCGAGCATGTGTTGCCCCTGTATTGCATCGAGTAGCATGCTTCTGCCTGCTCAGAGTCGAGTATTTAAGCTCTATGATTCTTATTCTCGATGCAATCGCTTGTTTCTTGATCCAAGGTCACATGACGAACGCGATAAAACCACACTAGTGTCGCATTCCGCAACTACATTCTATCGAGTCATAGAATTTGAAGAGGTTCAACCATGCAAATCCCCTTCTCACTCAAATTGGTCAATTTCATCGTGCCGGTTCCTTTAACGAGTAACTTTTTGCCTTCTGCAACTGTTACTTCGATGCTTGTCTCAAGCCTTCTGTACTTAAACAAGTCCTTCCTGTATTGGGTCTTATGAGTAACGACACCACAGTTTATAAGCCAACCTGCTGATTATTCTTTCGCTACTGCAAACATTGTGTCATCGCTGCTGACTCGTTTTCTTGCCGAAAAATCCTACTTTATGCGACAAAGCTGGTCAATTTAAATTACCGTTATTGCGTGAGTTATTAACTTTTTGAACATTGCCTGTCCAAGTTTGAGTCTTATAGGATTCCTATTCACGCGGATGGCTTTCTCCGCAACCTCCCTTTCCGTGCAGCCTTCAGATTCCTTAAGCAGCTTCTTCGTGACTTTAACCAATCTGGTTCTCTTCGCAATTTCCACAATCGATGAAATCAAATCACATTCCGACATTAGACTGTTGATATGTTACTTCAGCTGGCGTCATTCGTCAACTAGCTCTCCCATCGCTCTCATCAGCAATTGATAATAACCATCGACCAAGTCGAGTGCGCTGTACTTTGCACAGCCAACCATAAAGTTCTGGAGAACATACATTCTTGAAATCTACGTCTGTGCCGGAATGGTGGTAGCATTGAGCTTATTGTAAGCGTGAACAATACACCACTTGCCTTTCGGCTTCCGGATACAAAACGTGTGTATCGAATAGGGATACTTACTCTCACGCACCATTTCTACGTCGAGCTTTGCACGAAAGAATGCGTCAATGACGTCATATTGCTGCTCGGGCTGGGGTCATTGGCGTGTTACGCAATACTGGGTTCCCGTAACCAGGTCAGTTTCATGGCGCACCTCGGTCTGGAGTAGGGCTGACGGCGGGTCCTTGGAGACGACGTCTTCGAATTCTTTTATCAAAGGATAGTACGGATCCGAGTGATCCATCAAGATCGACGGTCCCATTCGTGCGTTCAGCAATCTCTTAGTGTCCACCACGACAGCTTCAATCAGAAGCGACGACGAATAAATCTCCTCGTTCGGTCTTATAATAACCACCTCGGCTAAATTGCCTGCCTTCAAGGCACCGCCAAACTCTTCAAAGGACATCGAGTCCAGCTCAATAAGAGCATCCACCGCGGAAATAGCCTCGAGGGCGACGTCGCCGTCCTCCAATCCCGTCATACTGTTGACAAGGGTATATAGCTGTGTGCTATCGTCTACTGTAGTCACACCCTGGGTCAGGGTCAACGTTCTGTGTCTTGCGGAACTCATGCATCTTCGCGGTCTCCTCTCTATAGCGTTTTTATGTCTCATTGAGGCAGTGGGACACGCACTCGTCATCGTCCGGTGTCCCCACTCACTGCTCCATCGGAGCCTTGATGTTATTAACATCGTCCCACGAAAAGCTGCTATTCCAAAGTCTTCGTTTGGTGTATAACGTGCCACTCCTCGCGCATCAGAAGGGGTCTTGCTCAAGATGCCTCGAACCTCGTCCGACCGTGCCATTCTTGGCACACAGCAACTGCTTTGTAACGTGAGCAGTGCTCAGTGGGTTGCATGCCACTCCACGTACATCACAAAGGCTTTGCCCTTAATTTCTCGGCCCTTGGCCGACCACGCCACTCTTGGCATGCAACGGCTGCTCCAATACTTGAGCAGTGCTTAGTGGGCTATGTGCCGCCCCACGTTCAGACCGCGAATCATGCTCGGGACCCTTCTCCAAAACACCTTCGATGTTTGACAGCTCGGATACTCCGATATCCAGTACATTGACTGTCCCAGTCCAGTTATCGCGCCAGTAGCCCCTCTCCTTCTTAGCAGCAATGAGTTCATGACTCACCAAAGCTCCACCAGGAGACATGCGCGTAGCGCCCGCGCCCAAAATATTTGACCTCCAGTCAATCCATGGCTCATGGTGTTCTAACCATGCATGCCAAGGTTGAGGTCATAACTTGCATCCGAGTCTAAGACCAAGCAGCGTTCCCCGCTATCAAAGTCAAGGAACTTGACACCGAGATTCACAGGGACCTCGGCACAGTGACACAATTTTCCGTCGTTAAGCGAACAGTGACGGTGTCATTCAACTGCGCTTCCAGCGCCTCAGCATACAGCTGACTTCCTTCGATCGTGGAGCGTCGAGCATA